ACCTCTGTTTTTCAAGGCCTCGCCTGCCTTTGCGATCATTAGATTATCGCTGACGGTTAATTCATCTTTTAATTTCGTAGCATCTTCTAAACATTCATGAATGGCGTATGCGCTGTATCCGGATCGTAGCTGCTTAATTTAAATGTGTAGTTTGATGTCGACGCTTGCGTATTTGATCCATCTGCTACGAGAAGCTTGGGCGTTGCCTGTAAAGATGACGATGACATCATCGCAATATCGCACTCTTTGTCTATTTTGCTAATTCAGCGATTTGTTGTTGCTGGGCAACGATTAAATTAATTAAGGTTTCTTGCCACTGTACTGTACCTTAAAAGTTCAGGATAAGGATCGACACTTGGTGATGCAATACCTCCATCCGAATCTGGTACAGCGTTGGCGAGACACTATTTGCACAATTTTTGACCTCCATTTTTGAGATTACTGTTTGACACGGTCTTTTTTATTAGTTCTTATTGTCTGTTCGGCACTGGACACGGTACTATCTCACTTCTGATGTTAAGGTAAGGAATAATTAACCCCAATAAAAGTCATTAAACCACCACAACTGTTTATTTATTAGTATTACACTATTCTATATTTTATTGCGTGGCTACGCGGTCGAGCTAAGACTCCGACTGCTGCTCCCCTCCGCTGCTCTCCGTTCGTCCGTCCTGACTTGCCAGGAGTATTGACAATTGACAGTGACACGTGGTCAATAATGTTGGGGTACAAGGGGAGTATCACTAACATACATATCCTTACCAACTGATTCTTATTTATTTAATTTTAAGTATATCTATTTTTTTTCTCTTCAATTTTAATATTCATTAACTGTCTATATCTATATTTTTACTTATTTTATTTGATGCAATTATACTGATCCTAAGATGGGAGAAGAGCACTTTATATTCATACGCCATATTGTAATTTCTTGACATAATCTCACAAACTTTCTATATTAATTATTCAACAAAAACTAATTTTACGGAGTTTAAAAGTTTTTAACACTTTATCGCTGAAAGATTTTCTTTAAAATGAATTTATAAACATTTGCAGTTTTTTGCGACCAGATATATTAATGAAAAGACATTTTCGTTCGATAATTTAGTGTATTTTATTAATTTTTTATATTTTTTCAATTAACAATAGCAAGAATGTTTTATTAATAATAGGCATTCTGTTTTAATCCTAGAAGACACAATTTTAAAGATAATATATTTATGTGCAAAGAGAATAAAAGGCACTAGCCCCCGGTTAGTATTTTTTTTTGAAAAAATGTTCCGTTTCGTCAAAAAAATTATAAAGTTTATTAAATTTTCTAAAAAAAAAGGAAAACTTTTAATAGAAAATTAACATTATCAAACATATATTATTTTTTAAATGATTACTATTTAGTTGTAGTAAATCTTTTTCTTAACAAAATCAAAAAATATTTTTTAAAATTGGACATAATATATAGCTGTATTTATTAAATAGCAAAGTAATGATAAATGATAAAGGTAAAAAAACGCAGTATCGTGAAGCGGCAGCAACCTCTCCACCTAAATCCCATTGAAATTGGTGGAAATTAAAATTTCATTATGTTTTTGTGTTTATATATGTATGCATGAGTTTCCAATAAAATTAAATCCCGCTTAAAACAAAAACAAAACTAATTTTGTACTTTTCATCAAATATCTATAATACGATCCATTTTAGAGACATCATGTATAGAAAAGCAAATCTCTAGAAAGTACCCCCCAGTTTCTCTGATTATGTTCAAAATCTAAACAGCTCTTTAGGGGCCCCTGGAAAACGCAAAAAGATATATCTTATATGCAATAAATATACGTTAAATGCAAATAAATCTAATTCCAATAAAAAACATGGAAAAATCTTTAGTAATGGGGTGTGTATGTACATAAAAAGTGATAAAAGGGAAATTCCGGAACACTTAAGAAATCCAGATGCAGTGAATGATTACTTTTTAGACGTTGCGGGAGATTCAATTTCAATGAGATTAGATTGCTACAATAATATGTTTATCTGACAGTATTTTTACTTATAATGCAATCACAGAAATGGATATTTATAAAAGTCTAAAAAATATTTCATTTATTGCGTATGGATCTGATAACATAACTATAAAAAATAATAATATGTTAACTTTGGTTATACTGTACTGTGTGGAAATAGTTACTGAATTATTATAAAAAGGTGCCACTACTTGAAGTTGTAAATCATTTTGAGTATTTGAAGCCTATATCATTATTATCGCCTATTATAAAATAATTTCGAAAAATTTTTTTCAATATTACTAATTGCTCCTTGAGATATAAGCGTCAAATCATAAAATCGTAAAATATAATAAAGATGTGCAAGAATATTTTCTTGAAATATCTTTATATTTATTTATATATTATTATCTATTAAAAAGTAGATGCAAAAGATAAGAGAAAATACAAAAGCATATGCGACAACCAAAGTTGAGACTACCCAAATCAAATAAAAAAGGAGACAAATCTAGACAAATTACTCTTAACAACGCATGGATACCCACAATAGATTCAAAGAGGACAACGATCTAATCTAAATCAGATCTCAGGTGAGTACGACTCCAGTATAAGTATTCTAGCAGTAATTGACACTTCCTGGGCGGGAAAAAGATGCGCAGCTTTTACTGCGCTGACGTTTTCGGAATATATTCTATCACTTGTCATAAATCTTGTTAAACATTCGCTACCGTGCGCAGGCAACCCAAATACAAACCTTTGTTTACATTTTATCGAAGTAGTTTTTGTAACACATTCATAGCTTAAAAACGGAAAATTTGTTATTTTGATAGTGGATTTAGATCAAAAATACCACAAATACAATTCAGTGTGTGTTTTATCCTTATTGTTACATATTATTGCTCGTTTTAATTGATGACATTGGAATAAATAGAGTACTAGAAGTAATCAAGCTAAAAAGGTGTGTTATAAAAAGAAAATACATTGCATTTGACTGATTTATGTTTAATATATTTTCGTGAAGTATTTCCAACATGCTAGTTACTTGAATGGTTGTAAATTGTAAGAGTATAAGTGATAAAAACTGATCTAGTGCTTTGTGCTTCCCTGTTTTTTTTGTTGATATTCCAGCCCATAGACCAGCATTCCCAGCTAGCAGTTGTAGTAAAAACATTAACATATCTACATTCAACCCATTTACATGTACATGATTTATCAGCTAAAAGCAGAACACAATAGTTCTCTGCAAAATGTAAACAACGCTACAAGGAAAATTCCTCATGTATAAATTCGACAATTAAATCAAAATATATTATTTTTAAAGGACTTGTATCAACTATTATGATAATTATAAATATTATAATATAAAATATAATATAATATAAATATTTGTAACAAAATAATAGTTGCGTATTAATAAACCTGTTGCCACTCCGAAAGAAATATTGTTTATTGATTATATCAGGTATCAAAAATATGTGAGTAAAGGTACTGCAACAGTTCGGCCTCATTCCCTATGTAAATTAATTTATTCTGCCAATTTTTGTCGCTTTCAAGGTCACGAGTCGAAGTTTGAATAATGACAGCCCTCAATTGTCATATCATCTGTCAACAGTGTTGCCAACTGCCAACTGACAATCCAGTACTGCCAACGGTCAGCTGCCAATCCAGTGTTACCAACTGTCAACAGTGAAGATGTTTGTTATTACGACAGTTTTCAATCTGTAGCTGTTAGCTCTTGTATTTATTTTTAATAAAAGATTTAGCCCTGTTGTAATCAATATCCAATGACACACGAAAATGAAAGTAGAATAATTTTATTCAAGATTCAACTTGTAAGTAATAAGGAAACGACGATGATGTATGACTATAATAACAACAATGATTCCGAACGATGCCTATGCGTTCTTCTTAGAATTCTCAATACTGAACTTTTGACTGCTGCCTTCCAGTATTCATTTACATTTCTTTATCTAGAGAAGCAATGTCTCCTCTTCTCCTTCGACTCCCTGGTTATTACAATTTTTGTACTAACCATCTTTGACAACGCATCAGCTTGTATTCTATGACTAAAGATTTCTACGATTTTCTGTGCTTTTCTTTGATTTTCTAGAGGTTTGCGCATAGATTTTTCGTGAGTTTCTAAAATATTTCACACATACTACACTAGATTGGCAACATTGTACTCTACATGAGTTTGTGTGTTGCATATGGATCACTCTTCTTCTCCTTCTCCTTCGTCTCCTCTTTCTTTTCCTTCTCCTGCTTCTCCTTCTCCTTCTTTTCCTCCTCCTTCTCCTCCTTTCCCTCCTTCTCATCCTTTTCATCCTTCTCATCCTTCTCCTCCTTCTTCTCCTCCTTATCCTGCGTAATGTTACTGTTGAACGTAATGTTAGGTTAGATGACAGTTTTTCCTTGACATTTATGACTGTTAGGTTGACAACTCTGTTGGCTTTGCTACTGCACTCTCTTCAACGTCCCCGTTTTCTTCACAATTACATCTTTCCCGTTCGAATCAGGCCAATAGCAGCTGAGATGCACGATGCTGTCCTTATTTGGAATACGATAGGCGCCATCTCGGATCGCTTAGCCGTGTCGTACCAGTGACAGGTTAAAGATCGAACGTGCCGCCTCAGAGTACCAGTACTGATTGATACATATACTGGGGTCCGACTCAGCTGAGTTGTCCTTGAACTAAAATCGAAGTTAGGTTACATTGCGTGGATTTAAACTATTTAGAGATGGGTAGTAACAAATCTGTAAATGTACTTAACAGTTACGGATTTGCTACTGCCCGTGTCTAAATTTCAGTGCAACACTGAAACCATCTGGAACCACCTGGAACCTCCTGGAACTCTAGAGAAGTTATAACCGAACTTCAAGGACGACTCAATCAAGTCCAACTCAGTTGAAATTGGTTTTTAAATACGGACCCAAATCTATTCTACTCCAGTCGATATCAGAAAATTATTGTTACAGTATTTTTATTAGTATTATAGAATTTCTTACCTCATTCGAATCGCACCGACCCCAACAAGCGCTGACCGAGATTGTGTCCCTGCATTGTTTACCATTCTCGTCCGTTTGGGTCACCAAGTACGTATAAGACTTTTTGTGACAGTTTAGAGTAAATTTGTCATCGCCGATCGCTCCTTCGGGTTCCAATTCAGCATGGATTTCGGTTACAGCTCTTGCGCAAGTCAAAGTTAATGTCAACCACACTACGATGCGCAGCATCGTCAGACTATCTGAAACAAATTAAATAATAGATAATAACTAGAATAAAGGTATATAATGATTGGTATTCTATATTACAACACTTTTCATAGTTTAACATATCCTCATTTTCTATCAGATTTTTGTCAGAATCATCCCCTTATAGAGCTTCAGTTTCTCGTATGACTTTGAACTAAATTTTCGGCATCGCCCCGTATAATTACAAAATTGGTGCAATAGAAAAATTGTCCTTTGAAGATACATATGTTTTGTTTTTAAAGTATCAATCTGGATTCAGTGTAAAATGTGAAATTTATTTGTTTGTACGACTGAACTAGCTATAACAACAAGGATAAAGACTTACTTTGACTCTCCCAATAACATTAAAATTTTGTCGGTGAGAAAAATCCATTAAAGGTGGAAAATATCCTTTATCACATATGCAAAGGAAACAGTATTACCATAGATTAAATCAGATGCGAAACCCGGCAAATGATCAAAGGATTTTAAAATGAGAGCTCTATGAATTTGAAACTTAAAATTGGCATGGCAGGAGGTATTGCTATTTTTGTTTTTTCAATTAATTTTGCTAAACATTGTTGCCTTGTAAATTCGTATCTACAAAAAAAGGTGAAATACATCATCAACTAGATACTAGACAGTATTTAAAAATATAATTTATCCAATTCAATGAGCAAAACAATGTTTTTCAAAATAGATAGAGGAATGAGGAACTAAAAATTGCATCAATCCTTTAACATATTATTTATAAATGTAAGTTATATGATTGAAAATGGTTTGGCAGAGGTATTGCCGTTGATGAACAAATACAAAACCAATTTTGTTTACAAAAGGCGAATAGCCATTCTCGTTGTTATCCAACATAGTTGCCAAATTATTACAGGAGAGTTTTTGTACATGAATTGTTTGTGGTCATAATAGCCTACTCTTTTTATGCCCAAATTATTATTTAACTCACGATTTGTAGCCATTTTACCCGACGAATATGGATATTGAATTTCGAAAACAAGCGATTAAATCAACCTAAAGATATAGTGGATTCGTTTGCAATATTTTTTTCAGGAAATTATGCACCAATTGATAATACTGTTAAAGATTCTTTAGAATAACAAAATTATAACCATAGTTAACGTTACCCAAGTAATGGAAGCTGAAGTACTAACTGCTCTAAAAAAATTGAAACCTAAGCCAACAAGTGGATCGGATAATGTTTCGGCCTTTCTGGTGAGAGACTGTGCACAGGTATTTTGTAAACCTCTTACTATTATTTTCAACCTTATTTTTAAAACTCAACAATTTCCTGAGATCTGGAAGTTAGCCAAAGTTAGTCCAATCTTTAAAAATGGCAGCAAAAATGATATATCCAACTATCGCTCTGTCACAATTCTGAACAATTTCTCCAAAGTTTTTGAAATACTTTCATTTCAGTTTCGCCAAATCATTAGTCCAACCCAACATGGTTTTATTGCTGGTCGCTCTACTGTAACTAATCTAATCTGTATAACTCATTGTATTTCTGAAGTTTTGGATAGAAGAACTCAAGTTGATGTTATTTACACTGACTTCTCTAAAGCATTCGATAAAATTGATCACAAACTTCTAATAAGTAAACTTTCAGTACTTGAATTTCATGACTCCTTATTAAATGTTTTACAGTCATATTTATCAGATTGTTACCTTTATGTTCAGTACTTAGGACATAAATCAATGAATTTCAAACAAACATCCGGCATCCTGCAAGGCTCGGTTTTAGGGCCTTTTTTATTTCTGCTTGTCATTAATGATATTGTTAATAACTTGAGCGTCACAAATCTATTGTTTGCCAATGACCTAAAGTTTTTTTATGAAATCTCTAGTTATAATGATTGTCTATTGCTTCAAGAGAATCTTAACCGCTTAAACGAATGGTGCAAAAGATACTAGAAAGGAAGCATCAGTACTATATAATTATAACCTACAAAATTCTACATTAAATCGACCAGAACTGATTAAAGATCTTGAAGTTTTCTTTGATCCAAAATTAACGTTTACATCGCACATTGAAAAAACAACTGCTTCTGCTTATCGAATTTTAGGTTTTGTTATAAAGAGTATGAGATTATTCAATGACTTTTTTGGAAAGAGTTCAACGAAGATTTTTTAAATCAGCTTGTCTTTTAAGTGATGGTACCTATCCCATAAGAGAACTTCCTCAAAGTTATTATTTAAACCCTTTCAATACATTTAGTCTTTTAAAAAGAAGAGTAATGCACTCAGTGATATTTCTGTTCAAGTTATTAAATAACAAGGTGGATTGTATTTCATGTTTGGAAATGTTAAACTTTCAGGTCTCTAGAGTTAATTCCCGAAGAAATCAACTATTCTATCAACAAGCACATATAACTAAAATACAAAGCATCGCCTTTATTTCAAATTATCCTAAACTATTCGAACATTGAAGATGATATAGATATTCTTATTTGCTCTGTTGCATCTATTAGAAGTATCTTTCTGTCAAATTAATTTTCGCAGTAATGATTAAAGGCGGAAATGGATGCAACCTTTTTTTCTTATGTAAGTTTTTTTTCAGGATGCACCCGCGTCTGTTTAAATTCGTGTTTAATTAGATTTAAGTTTATATATGTATATAGATAAGAATAATCATTTATGTTAATTCCCAATTCTTGTAATATTCCTTTCCTTATCCTGTAATTAGGGGTAACCCTGTTGGATATTGTAATAAACAAATAAATAAAAATAAATAAATAAAAGTTGGATTAAATCGTTTGAATTTCATCCTAACAGTCTCGTGTAAAAAAACTAAGTAAAATGGGTTTCATTGAACGTTTTCATGAATGAAACATTTTCAAATTTCTACTTGTGTAGTTTAAAGATTATAAAAATAAATAAAACTTGACTGTGGTGCTCGCATCCTGTTTGACGAGCCCACAAAGAACTTAACAGATTTGTTTATGACATTTTAGTTGTTTTTTCATGTTTGACGTTTTATGTCATTATTTTTACTTTTTGGTTATATGCAATGTTTTGGAGTGACAACCATCTGGTCTCTTCTTTTTTAATAACGTCACCGTTGTTAATTAAGATATATGTTTTCTTTTGTAAACCTTTACAGGATTTTCTGGATGAAAAGAAGACTCAAGTAGGCGGATTTGGAACGCAGTATAAAAGGACCGCCGTTGCTATGCTGCAGGGAGATCATTATAAACATTTCATCGATCGGTTTAATTTTTATATATTTCGAAAGTGTCTATTCTTTTTATATATATGTATTAAATAAAATTTTTAAAAAATTATTTTTTTTAGTTTTAAATTTAGTGGACCAACCAACGGGACCACTAAATTGACTTTTCTGCAACTAGAAATAAATAAAATAACTACATTCCGAATTAATTGATCGCGCACAACTTCTGGCCTTCGTAAAACTAAATTTAATAATTTAATATAAAAGTTGAACATCATCTCGCGTAATTTTCTTGCTGAGCAAAACAAGAATATCGTAGTGTGCTTTGGAGAACTTCTTCATTTCCCAAAAGTCCGTTTAATGTCCTTTCATTACTAATCTAATTTGAAATGCTTTAATGAAAATACTAAACCGGTGACTCCCACATTTATTCGTTTAGAAATTGGATAAGAATCATTGAAGGAAGATTGTGTGTTTTTTTTTGTTTTATTGCTGCATTTATTATTCATAAGTTGCACTCCTGGGTGAATAGAACAGATCCATTCAGACATTTTTTACTAAGAAAGAGTAATAGTGTACCAAAGCCGATTCAGAAAACAAGCAATCGTTTTTTAAGCCTCTGTTTTTTTTACATTTTGTTCCTAAAAAAAATTAAATGAAAAAATAGATTAAAATGTTTATCCATCGAATAGAAAACTCTTATTAAATAACAAAGATTTGTTCATAATTACCAACGATAAGTATGATAAACAGAACTTTTATTTATAAAAAGCAGCCGTAAATGTGACCATAACGTAAATGCGGTAAAAAAATACTAGATTAATTATTAGATTAAATATTAGATTAAATTTGAAAGAAGTTGGACATTATTTGTCCTTACCTATCGCGACCTTATCAGATCTATTGTGGGACTCCATAAAGTAGAGTAGCTTGATCTTTTATAATAGTATCTTTGATAGTGGCTCCCGCATGTAGTTTAATGCTTCTCGCTTTTCTTCACCTTGCGTTAGGAACCTGAATCTAGCCAGGCCTTCACAGGACGTATATTAATGTACCATCTTATTTTTCTGCTGAGTTGATGACAGTCATGTGCCTTCTTAGGCGACAGTAACCGGTAAGCTATCCTAACGATTTTTCACCCAGTAGAACTTTAGAGAACTTGCCTGATGGTTCTTAAATGAACTCTTTAGCCTGTCTTATTTCAGGATTGTTATTTCACTATTCTAGGAGACTCTTTTTGCATCCACTGTTTAATAGATGCTCTGCACAGTGCCTTAGCAACTCCGCAAAAGGGTTCGGGGCCTGTAATGGCCTGATCTAAGGCTAAGGCCACTTTGTTTTAACTACTTAGCTCTATTAGGCCTTCAGACATTCTTTTATCAGTCTTGATTGGATTTCTAGTGAGAAAAGTGCCTTTAGAGCTGCTTGTTTATCAGAGTAGATGTCAATAGTATTGCATATTTATTATTTCTCTTGTACAATGTTGTATGGCTATTAGTTTGGCCTGGAACACTGTAACATATTCTCCTAGACCCAGTGAAATCGTTGTTTTTGACTTGGGCTCAAAGATTCCAACACCCGATCCTTTCTCCTCCTTCTGTATATCGGACGAGTTCAGCCTGACGGTTCCAGGATTTTCGGATTGGTATTTGAAATTGAAAATTTCTTTAAAAATTGCTTGCAGCCATATTAGTAGGCATTCTCATATTCTTATACTTTTTTACTTGCTGGTATAACCTTGTATGATCAACGTTATGTAGTTGGTTTATTGGGCTTAAGACACAGTTTTTCCTGCATATTCTTCTACAGCTTACGAGAGATATTTCAGCT